AAAAAAAAAAGTATATTGTGGCATTATGCTGTAGTGATTTCCATACATTTCAATAACTCCAGGAAGAAAGTCAGTTCTTTGAGGGAAGTATTATGACATAGGTATCCTTGTATTCACAGAGTTAATAGCAGGCACACTATTGCTGTTGTTGTTGTGTGCCACAAGTTGACTCTGACTCATAGCAACCTTAGTGTAATGCAGTAGACAGAGTAGCATTGCCCCATTACATTTTCTAGGTTGTAATCTTTAGGGGAGCTGATTCCTCGGGCTTTCTCCCATGGAGACACTGGGTTCAAACTGTCAACTTTTAGTCAACAGCCAAGAACTTCACCATTGTGCCACGAGGACTTCTTAACTGAATTTATATAATCTAAGCCAAGACCTAATATGGTATTCACTGAGTCTATGGATATAAAATTATTCTCCTAAGACAAAGTGGGTTTGGAAAAAATACAAATGAATGGCTTAATGAAATAATCTTTAGACGCTTCTAACTCTGCAGTTCACAGCTTGAATGATGGGTCAAATTAATAAGCTCCCCTATATTTCCTCCAGTGCTGCTCTGTTGATTACTTCATGGTGGTGGTTGTCATGTGCCATGGAGTCGGTTCCTACTCATAGTGACCTTGTATAGGATTTCTGATGCTGTAAATCTTTACGGGTGCAGAAAGTCTCATCTTTCTCCCACAGAACAGGTGGTAGTTTCAAACTGCTGACCTTGAGGTTAGCAGCCTGACTCGTAACCACTACACTACCAGAGCTCCTTTACTTCATGGCAAGTCGGCAAATAAGTACATGAATACATGCCCCTATCTCCATGTCATAAAGTCTGATGAAGTGTGATGATACTGAGTGGTCCTGTCCATTTCACACGTAACATCAATTGATGATCCAGTCACCAGTACCAAATTTTGGTCTTTTTTGGGTTTTTCATGACTTTTTTTTAAAAAAAGACTTATTTTAAGTGCAATCATCAATATTTTCTTTGGAACAGATGCAACTCCCTTATTTTTCTTAGCTAGCTGGATTCCCATGACTCAAGAATGAATAGATCTAGTTTCAAGGGACAGATATCACTAAGAATTCCTCTGTCTATCCAGCCTACATCCAGCACCCTACACCGTACCTAGCATATAACTGTCACCCAGTACTTGATTACTGAATGAATGAATGAATGAATGAATGAAGAAAGTAACATTCCATATGCAATCATGAAAGGACTACCCTAAACGGAAGTTCAACAATTGATTAAAAAAATTTTTTTTTTTTTCCCTTCCACTCTTTAGAAAAATATATGTCATGCTGTGGCCTACAAGGGTTATTTCTAGTATATGAATCTTTTTCCTCCTCCCAAACTTATAATTATGAAGGGAAGTACAACAATATTTCCATGCAAAGAGATTTAGTAATTCTGGCAGTACTTCATTAATCACATAATCAGTGTTCAAGCAGAACTGATGTCCTTGACATATATAATCAATCTTGATTCCTCCTGCCATTTGATTTTCATCCTTTTTGAAATCTGGCAACTACAGACACTAAGGAATGGTGGTTTATTTTCACAGCATATTTTTGTTACATATAACCCAGATATACATATGATAGCAATTAGAATACCTATATGAATTCTTATGGTTGTCTATTTTAAAGCAATGGTTTTATCTTCAGTAAATTTATGGAAATTAATGGTGTGAAGACCAGATTCTGTTATAACTTAATGGGGTAAATGGGCTTGGGTTACTTTTTAGCTTAATATAACAGTACTTTTTTTGGAAATGGAATGTTTATTGTTATTGGTAAGTTGTAGCTGCTTGTTTATAAGAATTTTTCCAAAGCTGCATTCTAAAGGCTGCTGACGTGGAAATATACCAGCACTCCAGAATTGAGCCACATGGGATTAAGTTTCTGTTGTTTCTAGTGTATTAATGTTTAAGACATTTAAGTTTAATGTCTTCTTCTTTGGGAAGGTAATTTTACAATCACTGGTTCAACTGCAGAAGTTCTGATTTTGGCTCTCCTTTTCTATTAATGTTGAATAAATTGGAAATTTAAAAACATTACTCATTTCCCCACAATTTTGATGCCGTATGATTTCCATGTCCATTTACTAACAGACCACCCAGCCATCCATCTATTTGTCAGCATCATGTTTTTCTATCTTTCCTATATAAAGCAGCAGTATAGGTTTTACAAAGGAGTACTGAGGGCTCTGTAAGTTAAACAGTGGACTGTTGACCACAAGGTAGACAGTTTGAACCCACAATTGACTCCATGGGAGAAAGATGAGACTCGTTGTTGCTCCTATAAAGATTCACAGCCTTAGAAACCTTATACAGGATTTTGTGTCAACTTGACTGGGTCATGATTCTCAGTGATTTGGCAGCTGAGATGTACCTATCCCTAATCAAGTGATTTGATGTGATAAACCAATTAGAGGTTTAAGGGTGGGGTACACCATCCTTAATCCCATCACCACCCTGAACCAATTTATGGGAGATTTCCAAGGGTGTGTCATGCAAGCCTTTCATCTTACAAGAGTTAAAAGAAGAGAGACTTGAGAAGAGAGGGAGGAACTTAACTGCCACCAAACTAGAAAAGCCGGGAGTAGAGTGGAGTGCATCCTTTGCACCTGTCATCCCTGTACTGGGAAGTCAGTCTAGACTCACTATCAGACAGCTTTGTGGTCTCCCAGCCTCTGCTCATGATCCAAAACTGCTGCTACATTTTAGGTATCTGTTAGAGCAGCAACCCACTCTCAGTACCAAATCCTTTACTGCTCAGTAGAGCTCAAGAGCTTTGTGACACTTGCTTGAGCAGAGCATAGACCAGGCTGGGTCCTTCTAGAGATCAAGGAAGCAGAAAGTAGAAGCTGAAGAGACAAGGAACATGGGAAGCAGAGCTGCTTCAGCCTTAAAAGGAACAAGCATGCCCTCTGGAATTTCTAAGGGTGGGCCACCATTTCATATTTTCAAGGAATTGGCTTCTTCACCAACTCAGTTCCTGAGTGTGGGGCTGCCATTAAGATGGGGCTGCCTCCCAAAGCTGAGGGGGCAGAGCTGCCATGCTCAAGGGGGCAGAAGAGCAGGCCCTCCTGGGGTCAAGGGTGTAAGGTCACCACTCAGATGGACTAGAAGAATGGGACCACCCAAAGCCAAGGGAGCTGAATTGCCATTCCAGTGGGTCTGGAGGGTTGAGGGCCTCTATGCAGAACTCAGAGAGTATTGGCAACACCAAGTAGAGAGCGCAGGGCCATTTCCTAGGTGGTCTCAGAGAATAGAGAGGTATTTTCAAGCCTTGAAAATTATGTAAATTGTTCTGTTGGATTCTTAACTTGCTTAATGCCTGTTATCCATTCTTCCCCTGGCAGTTGCTCCCATTTGTAAAGGAAATGTCTGCCTTTTGCCTGTTTCACCATTGTATTTGGAAGTTGACAACTTGTATTCTGGAGTCCTGCTGTGGTGCTATAGGATAAGCACTGGGCTGCAAGATCGGTTTAAACCACAACGTCTGCAGTTCAAGCCCACCATCTGGTACTTGGAAACTCTACACAAGGTCTCTATGGGTGGGAACCCACTTGAAGGCACTTCTTTCTATGTACATTTTTTTATATAATCTTGTGAATATATAAATATATGTTCACATAGATATGAAATACATTTATATTGTTGTGACTATATATATAAATATATATTTACATTGTTGTTGTGGTTCAAGCCAACTTTGCCATCCAGAGCATTAACCCCAGTGTCACACAAGGACATTTTATTTATGTGTGTGTGTGTGTGTGTGTGTGTGTGTATGAGGGTGAATAAAAAACTATTTTCACTCAGGCTGTAGAATTTATTTTCATCAACTTTTAGAAAAGACAAATACATAATTTTTTGACATAGTCTCCTTGCTTTTCAATAACCTTGTCTATCTATCAACAAGCTTTCATATTCTCTTATTTTAAAAATGTTTTATGCTGAGCTGTGAGCCATGAATGTACTACTGTATTCATTTCTCCATCAGAGGTGAATCTTCATCCTCGAAGGGCTGCTTTCAGGGAACCAAAAAGGTGAAAGTTCGGTGCAGCAATATCAGGACATAGGGAGGATGCTTTAGCACCTCAAAATGAAGTTTTTGCAGAGTACCAACAGTGTGGGCAGAGGTGTGTGGATGTGCATTATTGTGCAAGATCACAACGCCCTTGATAGCAGTTCTCTGCATTTAATCTGAAGTTTAGGCTTCAGTGCTTCCGTGAGCATCTTACTGTAGTTCACACTGTAGATTGTTGAACCTTTTTCCTCATAGTGTTTCAATACTGGCCCTTGAGAATTACAGAAAACTGTAAGCATCAATGTTCCAGCTGATGGATGACTTTTGAACTTTTTCTTGGTCAGCAATGGAGGATGTTTCCATTCCATACTCTTCCATTTACTCTCAGACTCGTAGTGATTATTACCAGGAACAATTTTTTAAAGAAACGTTTGTCTTCCTTCTAGTACTGGTCCAAATTTTGTTTATAGATGTCCATGTTCACACACGCACAATATATGTGTGTATTGTTGTTGTGAAGCACCATCAAGTCAGTTCTGACTCACAGCAACCCTGTATAGACTTCCGAGGAGCAGCTGGTGAGCTTGAACCGTCGGTCTTATAGTTCAAACCAACCTTGCAGTCCAGCACATTAACTTGCAGCACCACACCAGCTGTAAGATAAGCACTGGACCACAAGGTCAGTTTGAACCACAAGGTGGATGATTCAAACTCCTCAGATACCCCATAAAAGGTCGCTCACTATCAGTCAGAACCTACTTGATGGCACTTAACAGCAACAACAGCAAGCAATATGTATGTATAGGAGTTCTGGTATTGTACTGTCCAGATTGTATCTATCTATCTATCTATCTATCTATCTACCTACTTAGTAGAAGTTGAACTGCAGAAATGTTATGGTAAAATCATTTTCTTTTAGTGAAAAATTAATGGAACTCTGGGCTAGCTGGAAAGTAATTACTAGGTTATACCTTTATTAAGGTTAACGTTCTACCCAGGCATGAAAAGGTGAAAAGGAGAATTGGAGAGAAGATTAATTAATCTGAGCCCACATGCATCAGCGAGAGGTGGATTTGATTTTGAATAACTATTACTAATAACCATGCAGACATGACCTTCATTAGGGAACCAAATTTCCTAATCTAAATGAAATCTCCCTAAAACCATCCATTCTTTTTCCCCCACACTCCTTTTTCTTTTTGTCTGATATATAATGATCAAAGGAGTTTTCTCACAACTAATTGAACTCCTTGAATACAGAGCTATAAGTAAGTTTATCAATGATTAAATGTGTTGTATGTTTCATTCATGGTGCAGTGGTTCTCTAGAATAAGCACTGGACTGCTTGAACTCCTTTCACATAACTAGGGACACGTTTGGCTAGAGTTTCTATCAGTCACCTGTGGCTGCCAGTTTCCACCCAATGAGGCTGCCCATGCTGACTCCATCACCCCCACAAATGTCTACCTCTTTCTTCTGATGATGACTCCAGCACAGAGCAAATGTGGAGAAAACTGTGGGTTTTTTTTGTATTTTTCCTTACAAGAATTGCATCTGAATCAGAACACTAAGCAGCACTGTATTAGCTTCCTACAGTAACTTTAATGATTAAAGATTTCTCTTTCAGTGGATCTTGATTCCAGCTACTGTGTTGCTAACTTTCAGGCACTTGTCTGAAGTAAAACAGAATGTCAACACACCTCTAACACCTGGTATCCCTCCCTTCTAGCCCTGAATATCATTATCAACCCCCGACTCTCTGCCCAGTTTTGGAGACTTCCTTCTTTGTCTGAACCTGACCTGAGTAGATTAACAGACCTCCCTTGTTTCTTTGTAGCCATGAGGCTCTTAGTTCCGAGGTTTCCCATCAGCTCCAGTAAGGACATTTATCTTTCCCCAAAACTTCTTGATTTATGCAAATAAATCCTTCAGGTGGGCCCAATTCATTGGCTCCAGATCTTTTGAGATGACTGGAAGCTATGAGGTATCATAGCTTAGACATAACATGATTCTACTTAATTATATATGAAATTAATACCTTATTTTTCATTTTTCCATTTTAGATAAAGGAATTTTTGTTATCCAAAGTGAGAGTATCAAGACATGCATCCAAGCAGACAAGTCTGCACTTACTCTGGTGAACTGCAAACAGCCAAACAAGAATATGTTGTGGAAATGGGTTTCAAAGCAACACCTCTTTAACATTGGAGGTAGTGGTTGCCTGGGTCTTAATTTATCTAACCCAGAGCAGCCATTGAACATATATGAATGTGATTCTACCCACGTCTCCTTGAGGTGGCGCTGTAACAGGAAGATGATCATGGGTCCACTCCAGTACACGATACAGGTGAAACACAACACCACCATTGTGGCCTCGTGGAAATATCTTCATAAGTGGATTTCATTCATGTCAGGTGGTGAAGGCATTTGTGACTATCTGCATAAAGGTAAATACATAAATTTAAGTCAAAGTGCTCATGACTATTTCATACTGACAGTGACATGATAGAGTTACCATTTCTAAAAAATGACTCGGGGCGGAGTGAACAAGGCTGAGTCAGGGAGTGGGCACATGAGGGTAACTAGTATCAACAGTCATCTAGAAGAACAGTGATGATGCAGATGTTGCCTTCAACTGCTTCTTCAGTGTACTGTAATCATTGGGCATCTTGGATCTGGTCTTAAGCAAGAAACAAACATTTTTCATGACTCAAGTGGAGCTTTTTATGATGAGAGGGATCAGGGCCATCCTCACTTAGATCAATAGGTCCTGGGGTGAAAGGGGCAGTTGTGGAGATTTCTATCCCAATTGGGAAAAATTCCCTACAGTTGCCACATCAGTTTACCCTATTGTTTAGGAATGAAGCTGTTTTAAGAATGACAGGGTATAAATAGATAAATATATAAACAAACTTTTTATCAGCGCTTCCTCTAACTCCATCACTAAGCCCAGAATTTTATATATAGTAATCAGTGGGGCCTCAGAGAGTTCACTTTGGAATAACTAGAACCTTGCTCATAGTAGGTTTTCAGTCAATAAAAATCCATGAAAAGTATGTTGCCTTGAGCATTTTGCTCTCTTAAAGATTTCTCTCCTGTTGAATAACGATGCATGGGGGAGACTGTAATCATTGCAATGAAACAATGGCATAAAACCAATGTTGTAAACTGTCACTCAGTTCGCAATAAAAACTTAAAAAAAAAGAAAAGATTTATCTCTATGGTATAAAACAAATGCAACAGTATCTCAGAAGGTTAGATAAGAAACTTAGGGGTCAGTGACTTTACATTAATGTTGTTATTTCTTTGTTAAGTGCCATCAAGTTGGTTCTGACTCATAATGACTATGGATAGGGTTTCCGAGGAGCAGTTGGTGAGTTTGCACCACCAACTTTGTGGTTCAAACTAACCTTGAGGTCAAGGCTTATTTTACAACAGTGGCAGATTAATTTGGAAAAGGATAGCAAGAACAGTTACACAACCTAAAGGATGTAAACCATGTCACTGAATTGTACACATAGAATTTGTTGAAATGGTATGCTCTTTGCTGTGCATATTTTCATAAAAAATAGAATTCTAAAAAATGTTAAGTGATTTTAAGTTTCCAGTGACAAATGTAGCAGAATACTAATTTAACTTTATAATTTTCTTTCTCTTAGATTTATATACAATTAAAGGGAATGCCCATGGGATGCCATGTGTGTTTCCATTTCAGTATAACCAGCGATGGCATCATGAGTGTACCCGGGAAGGTCGGGACGATGACTTGCTGTGGTGTGCCACAACAAGCCGCTATGAACGAGATGAGAAGTGGGGATTCTGTCCAGATCCCAGTAAGAATAACACTAATTTTCTCCATGTGTTATGAATGAATCTAGGACAAGGAGAAAGTTATCTGTAGCTAAAGAAAAGCACCAGAATTGATATATATATTGAAGTCTAAATAAGTACTCTGATTCCATTAATAACAGATTTTGATTTTGTGTTTGTTTTTGCCTTGAAAAGACAATTTTCATATTCCTTTTTTCCTTAGGTTCAAATGATGTTAATTAGCCATTCTTCACGAAGCTCAGTATATAAGGATGCTTTAACTTGAATCAAATTATAATAGTCTGTGATTTCATTAATCCTGCTTTCCCATAAGGATCTTTCAAAACAACCCTGAATGCATGTAAAGCCCAATTATCCTTTCAACCATTTCCTCTTATGAACTGCCTTAACTTCTCCACATCTAGAGGCTTCTCTTACTCGTTGTTAAGTTCAGGCATCCTCTAGCCACTTCATGATCTTCCCCAAATCATGGCTGCTCTGGTTGTTTCTCCACAGTGACTCTTCTCTTGATTCCTTTTCCTTATTATTATTTTCTACATATACCTCAAAATGTTTTTCTCTTCTTTATTTTCTAGACCAGGGTCAGCTTTAATGTTCTTTTTTTCTACTTAGTGCTTTTATTTTATGTTTTAAATCTTTTTTTAATTAAAAAATTTGGTTACAAGTATTGGGGAATTTATGGTTAAATATATTTCAACTGTAGATTAAAGCTTTTATTATGAATTAAGTGATAGTTTACATTGTAGAAAAAATATTTTGCTCTCATATTTTGTTTCATTGCAATGATTACAATCCCCTCCATGTAGCACTGGCTAATAATATTTGCCTCTATTCCCTCTTTTTTTTATCTTATGTACACAAAAACACTCAGGAATATATTACCATTTAAACAACCAAAGGGCACATTTTGCAAGCCAGCCTCCTGCCCACCAACACACAGCCTTTCTCTTTCCATGAGTCTAGAGTTCTCAGCTTCTCAATCTCTCCATGCCATCATCTCTGCCTCCATTTCTGGTGTTGCTGCTTCTCTGGATAGGAGCCTATGTTCTTGCTCTTCCCTCTTGATGGTTCTAGGGATGCAAAATTAACTATTCTTCCCTTTTTGCTACACAACTCCTACCTTTACAGTTGTGGAAATTGCAATTATTCATGATAAAAATTACTCATTATTGAATCGAAAGAATCCTATCCCCATCTCCTTTCACCAGACCCATCTAGACAAGATGGAAACTATTCAGTGGGGATTCTACCGTCCCCCACACATTCTGAAACTAAACTTCCTCTTGAAAACTTGTAAGCCAGCAACTTTGTGCCTTTATAGATCCCCTATTTTAGGTAGCCATCAACCCTGTGTACTGAGGGGCTAGGTTTGATCCTGGCTCTGAAGACTCCTTCCCTCTCAGTTGGTATTTTGAGCTACTAAATCCATAAGTAAAAGTCAAGTTAATCAAATTGTAGCAATTTACATTTGCTTCCTGTATCAAATTTCTTTATCTTCCTATAGTTGAGTTCTGATCATCAAGCCACTTAAGCCATGTCAAATGGGTACTATTTGAAAGTTTGGGTGTTCTTGCACATTTCCCCCAACTTTGTATTGGCTGAATGCTTCACTCTCAGCTATAGCCTCATATGGCTAGATCATTGTCCATGGGCTCAGAAGTGCCTAAGTCTCCCCAAACTTCAGACCAATCAGGCTTTCCTCTTTTCTCTTTCATCTTAAGGTCCACAGGAGTCTATGGTTGTGGTCGAATTGAGCCCGTGTCTTCATTACTTCCTTTCCCCCATTTCCATTCACAAATAGACCAATGTGGTCACCAATGAGCTTACAAACCTGCTCGTGTGTTCCCTTTGAGTTTTAGACTTGGAAGGGGGCTTGATGGCTTGCTTTGATGGCTTGCTGGCTCCCACATGAACAGCTTTCTTTCTTATTCTTGTAATAGCCAGTTTGCTGTTTTTGTTTTGTTTTCTGCTGGTCTTTCTTTCAAGAATTATGTATTGTTCCTCTAGCCGCTCTGGGTTGGTCTGCATGTTGTTCTAAGTGGGAATGTCCCACCTCAGAAGGTTCTGGATGAGGCTCAGGATTCCACCCAAGGCCCTATACTCTATAAAGGCTCCACAAGAAGTCCATTTCACTAGGCAAGTTCTAGAACACCTATTAGGTATTCCAACCAGTTGTAGGCTGAAGATAGGCTTATAAGCTATCTGTAATCATATCTCCCGATATTCCTTTCTAGCACACTCAAATGTCTATTTTATAACGTTGTTGTTAAGTGCCTTCTAATCGATTCCAAACCATAGCGACCCAGTATAGGGTTTCCAAGGAGAAGCTGGTGAGCTTGAACCACTGACCTTGCAGTTCAAATGACTTTGCAGTCTGACGCATTAGCCCACAGCACTACGCCATTCTTCACAATGATATCCATAGTTTGTTATGATCCATATAGTTGAATGACTTTGCATAGTCAATAAAGCACAAGTAAAGACCTTTTAGTAGTCTCTGCTTTCAGCCAAGATCCATCTGACATCAGCAATGATATCCTTAGTTGCATGACTTATTCTGAATCTGACTTGAATTTCTGGCAACTCTCTATACTGTTGCAACCATTTTTTAATTATCTTCAGCAAAATCTTACATGCATGTGATATATTAATTAAATAATTAATGATATTGCTCAGCAATTATCTCATTCCAGTGTGCTACCTTTCTTTGGCATGTGCACAAATACACATCTCTTTCAATCAGTTGACCAGGTATTTGTCTTCCAAATTTCTTAATAGATGAGTGAGTGCCTTTACTGCCACATCAGTTTGTTGAAAAGTTTTCAATTTGTATCTTGTCAATTCCTGAAGCCTTGTTTTTCTCCAGTGCCTTTAGTGCCACTTCACTTCCTTCAGTATCATCAGTTCTTGATCATATGGCACCTCTTTAAATGGCTGAGTATCACTCATTTCTTTTTTGTGAAGTGACTGTGTGTTTCTTCCATTTCCTTTTGATGCTTCCTACACCATTCACTATGTTTCCCATGTTGTTGTTAAGTGTCATCAAGTCAGTTCTGACTTATAGGAACCCTGTATAGTGTTTCTGAGCAACAGTGTTGGATTTGAACCACTGACATTGTAGTTAGCAGTCCAGTGCTTATCTTATCCTTCAGTATTGCAAGTCAAAGATTGAATTTTTTCTTCAATTTTTTTCATCTTAAGAAATGCCGACCATGTTCTTCTCTTATGGCTGCTAATTCCAGGTCTTTGCACATTTTGTTTAATATTTGACTTTGTCTTCTCAAGCTGCCCTTTGAAATTGTCTATTTAGATTTCATACTTCATTTCTTCCAGTTGCTTTAGCTTCTCTACATTCAAGAGTAAGTTTAAGAGTCTCTTCTGACACCCATTTTGGTCTTTTCATTCTTTCCTGTTTTTTAAATGGCCTTTTGTTTTCTCCTTGTGTGAAGGTCATGATGTTACTCCACAGCTCTTCTGGTTTTAGGTCATTAGTGTCTACTACATCAAATCTGTTCTTGAGATGACTTCTATCAATTCAATCGTGATATAGCCCAGGTCATATTTTGGCTCCATGACCTTCTTTTAATTTTGTCAGCTTCAGCCTGAACTTGCATATGAGTAATTGACAGTTTGTGTCAGTTTGCCCCTGGCCTTTGTTTGACTGATGATATGGAGCTTTTCTATCATCTATTCCCACAGTTATAGTCAGTTTGATTGCTATGTATTCCATTTGATGCAGTCAACTTGTATAGTCACTGTTCACATTGTTGAAAAAAGGTATCTGCAATGAATAAGTCGTTGGTATTGAGGAGCTCTGGTAGCGTAGTGGTTACGAATCGGGCTCGAACCTTAAGGCCAGCAGTTCGAAACTACCAGCCGCTCCGTGGGAGAAAGATGAGGCGTTCTGCTCCCGTAAAGATTTACAGCCTCAGAAACCCTGTATCGGGTCGCTATGAGTCAGAACCGAGTCGACGGCACTTAACAACAACAACAACAATTGCAAAATTATGTCATGAGTCTCCAGCATTGTTTCTAACACCAAGGCCATATTTTCTAACTAGTGCTCCTTCCTTTGTTTCCAACTTTAATATTCTAATCATCATTAATTATTAATACATCTTAATTGAATGTTTGATCAATTTCAGACTGAAGAAGATGGTAGAATTCTTCAATTTCATCATTACTGGCTTTAATGGTTAGTCCATAAATATGAATCACAGTGATATTAAAGTGGTATTAGCTGGTCTTACTTGTGTTGCTACTCTTGTTAAGTGCCATCAAGTTAGTTCTGACTCATAGCTACTCTATATAGGGTTTCCAATGAGCAGCTGGTGGGTTTGACGTAAGCTGAAATTGTCTGTTTCCAAGACATTGTGGTGTCATTGTATTTATATTTAATTGATGATTGTATGTTGGTATTTTCTCACGCACACACCACGTATCACCTGGTGGATGTGACGTAGACTGGAAATGTGAACACAATTCTCTGTTTGTTGTTAGTGTAGCGTAGTTCACGTTCCTCCAGATACAGGGCTGGTAGGCCTGGTGCCTGACCCAGGCATTTCAGAGTCTTCACGAGAACGAGTGGCATTGGCCCCGGGCTGACAAGATCACAGAGAATAGTGGAAAACTGCACCCCCTTGCCACCACCTTCAACCATGTCCTGCGCTTCTAGGCCTCTATAGTTACAGCAAGATGGCCATGCTGCTCCAGGCCAGCCAACTTCCTCTCTCACTGCTCCTGTGTAGTGTCCTATTCCAGTCATCACTCAGTCCACCTCTCTGCCCTACCCTCTAACGCTCAGGATTCCAGGGTCACCTATTGTATCTGATCTTCCATGTCCTGTTTGCAGAGGGTCAGCTTAGTATGTCTGCCTAGTCTACCATGAAAAAAGTCTATATTAGGAAAATTGCTGTTTTATTTTTCAACATGATCTATTCTAGATCGTCTTTGGATGTATTTAGAAATGTTCCTAAGAGAAGTTGAAGATGCAGGGACAGAA